TGCTTCCTGGGAATATGTATGTGTGTGTATGTGTTAAGAGAGAAATATATGAAGTAGACATAATAGAGGAAAAATAAAATAGAGTGGCGAGGTCCAAGAGCTAGTAACTTGATTCTGCAGATACAAATAGTAAACACACACACACACACACACACACACACACACACACACACACACACACACACACACACACACACACACACACACACACACGCACACACTCCCACGCACACGCACACACTCCCACACACACGTGCAACGAGACAAAAAGTCATGACACCTGCTCACCCACACTCACACAGACGCACGCGCGTTCATTACCTTACACCGTGCTTGGATATTCTCATAATAATTTATCTCCGCTCGCATTCAGGGACCACGTGATCTGTGTACAGAAATGTGAATCCTTGCGCGTGTGTGTGTGTGTGTGTGTGTGTGTGTGTGTGTGTGTGTGTGTGTGTGTGTGTGTGTGTGTGTGTGTGTGTGTGTGTGTGTATATATGTGTATATATATATATATATATATATATATATATATATATATATATATATATATATATATATATATATATATATATGATGATGTTTAAAACTTCTGTCGACGGCCAGTTAATGAGATTCTTCCTGGCTACTGTGGTAGAGTGACGGTCTTACATTTTTCAAGCCCCCGTTCGTATCTCTGATGAGACAAATGAATTTGTTTTATATATAATTGTTAATGTCTTGTAAGTAACGTTGAAAGAATGTATCAGCCAACTTCAAGTGTGAAGTCTTAAACTTCTTTATGCTCGACTCAAAAACAGCTTGAATCTTGAAACAGTCGTATTAATCGATATTAGAACTTAAATGGATAAACAGTTATCTTTATTTAATTTGTTGTTGAAGCAAATCGAATTCATCTATAAACCGGAATAAAAATAATAAAATTGTACCTTCCTAAAATGCTTAGTATTCATAATTACATAAAATTGGTATTGGTATATTCTCATAGTAGATAACAGGACACGAAGTTAAACTTGTTTTGCAGCAACGGACACCGACGCAATGTCTGCGTCACTGTCCCCACGTCAATGGATTGTGACAACAGGGGGAAAATAACAGGCTACCTACGCCAGAGAGAGAGAGAGAGAGGACGTGTCGAACCCCCGCAGGAGCAGAGCGCCCCAGCAACCCACACTCTATTATCAATGCTGATGATCAGGGGGAATAGTTTAGAGTAGCATGTAGAGCTGATGGTGAGTGAGGGGGAGGGGGTCAAGAGCACTTTGTGGGTTGATGAGTAGTGAGAGTGCTCTATGAGTTGATGAGTTGGTGTACTCACCTACACGTGCGTCCTGGGGCGTTCTTTTGTATTGTTTTTTAATAGAGTAACTTAGTTCTCTCTTTTATGTTTAAAATTGTAAAGTTCTCTCTTCACTTTTACATTTAAAATTGTAAAGTTCTCTCTTCATTTTTACATTTAAAATTGTAAAGTTCTCTCTTCAATTTTACATTTAAAATTGTAAAGTTCTCTCTTCACTTTTACATTTAAAATTGTAAAGTTCTCTCTTCACTTTTACATTTAAAATTGTAAAGTTCTCTCTTCACTTTTACATTTAAAATTGTTTATTCAGCTAACCCCAATTACCACTACTACTTCATCTTAACATATTCACAGCTCAAATGATGAAAACTTCTTTCTGTCATCTTTTTGAAGCTGTGTCGCTCAGATTCAAAGGCAAAGAGACACAGATATCGCCTGTATCTCTGGCTTTCTCATCTATGTCACCTCGTTGTGATTATCATTAGAATTTTATATGTCGTAATCATGTCCCACTTATGTTCCTCGAGTCATCCAGTGTAATATTTCCAGTTAAAGTCTAGTAACCAATTTATAAACCCTATTTGGGAGTATGTCGAGATTTACAGTCGTTCTCTGTTCTGTTTATCCTTATTGTTTTGCGTCATCAGCTGCCTGATCCTTGACGTGAACTAAAAACAAGATGGGTTCTAAAACCGAACACTGATCCATGTGGTACTCCACTCATTGTGCCTCCAATCTGATGTCTCCCTTTTATCTATAACCCTTTGCTTTCTTCGTGAAAGCTAATCCTTCAATCCCTTTAGTACTCTTCAAAACACAACAGTCTGCCTTTTTTTAACAGCGGGGAATCTTGTGTGTGAAACCGTGTCAAATGCTTTCTGACAATCAAGGAATATGCAGTTTTCCCAACCCTCTCTCTCTTCTGTTTCATTTCCCTCGGGTTGAAGAATACTAACAAGTTTGTCATGCAATGTTTTTCTTCATTACATTCGTTTTTTAGGCAGAATTCAGGTGTTTTTGTTATGTGACGTGTCTAGTGATAAGTCACATGATAATAGATTATGTGATTTACTCTAGTCATGTGATTGTGTGACTTACTGTAATCTTAATTACATGAATATATATTTACCTATATATGAATTTACCTGAAGACCCCCCATCTCTCTAGTGGCCTCTATGAGAACAGGAAGCCGGCGGCTTGTCAAATTTCGGCCCTTGATTTGTCCTGGTGATTATCAAGCAGAATTTTGACATTCCGAAGTGTGGTATTTACGGCTTCGGCGGGTAGGCGGTTCCATAAGCTTATAATTCTTTACGTCAATATAAACGGGTGAAAAAGCCTCACCCAAAAAAAAAAATTAATGTATTAAATATATCACAAAGTAGAACACAAAACAATGGATATTTATTGTATAAGTTTAAATTCAGGAAAGACATGGGTAAATACTAGTTTACGCTCTCGATTCATAATCAGGGATCCCGGGTTCGGTCCCCGGGCGAAACAGAAATGGTTTGACATATTTCCTTTCACCTAGTGCACCTGACAAGTAAGTAATGAGTATTACTTACTCATAATAATAAGTAACATAAAGTAAGTCAAATAAATAGGTCCCTGATAGGCAAATGGTGTAGGGGTAGAATCCTTGGGGGGGACCTCGATATTAGTGTATATACACAGACTTCCTGTCCCGGACAAAGGGAAATATAATTAAGTTAGTTTGGTTAGATTGGGTTAAGTTAGGTTTATTTATATGGTAGTGGTCTCACAGACCCCTCACAGACCTCACAGACCCCTCACAGTGTTCAAGAGAGAACTGGATAAGCACCTCCAAAGGATACCTGATCAACCAGGCTGTGACTCATACGTCAGGCTGCGAGCAGCCGCGTCCAACAGCCTGGTTGATCAGTCCAGCAACCAGGAGGCCTGGTCGACGACCGGGCCGCGGGGACGCTAAGCCCCGGAAGCACCTCAAGGTAAGGTGGTGACGTATAAGGGAATTATACTTGTAACAGATTCAGGTCGTGAAAATTTAGTGTACCTTCAACAAGATAGAAAACGAGGTTCATTCTAATGGCTCATTTAAGAGAAAACGAACATTTTATATAGCAAACAATTGTATAAAGTAATGCAGCATATCATATTGAGAGTTATGTCTATAAACTTAATTAATTTGTAAGCAAAATCTTTGAGAATAATGTATAATTCTTTTAATCAGATGAAAAATTATTAAGTGACCCAAATTATACAGTTCGTTAGCTAGTATTTTCTCCCCTGATTTCATGTATGACTAAATCATCTTGTGATATGGTAATACGATGAACTTATAGCTAGTGATGAACTTATAGAGAGTTTTTGATCTACACTGTGTAATCTTCCATATAGAATGTGGTAGCAGCACATTGCTGTGTATACCCAAGCTTATTAATAAAATTGGATTAATAATATTAATAATATTTAATAATAAAAATTATTAATAATATTGGGAACCTTTCGGGTGATTGCGCTGACTACTAATCAACAGAGCCATGAAGCGATTCAGAGAGGAGAGCTGTTTCATCAAATCGGACAAATAGACTGTGTTTGTAGGTCATGAACTCACACATGACCCAACGTATAAGTTTTCAAGCAAAGTCAAAATTGTGTAAATCATTTATTACTGAATGAACAATATGGTAAAATTGATGAATGCGTCTTTGGGGTCGGACGCTGGATGGAATGAACATGGCCTGGAGACAGGTTGCACTCGTGTGTATATATATATATATATATTTTGTGTATATCCAGGGGGGTTGGCGGCTGTATGGAATCCCTTTTTGTCTTTGTTGATGAATACAGGCTGCTTTGTTGATGAGTACAGGCTGACATTGTTGATGAGTTCAGGCTGACATTGTTGATGAGTTCAGGCTGACATTGTTGATGAGTTCAGGCTGACATTGTTGATGAGTTCAGGCTGACATTGTTGATGAGTTCAGGCTGACATTACACAAAATGTGAATTTTTGTGGGAACAAAAGCTCATATGTGAACATTCGACCTTAGATATTTGAACGTTCCTTTGTACTAAATTTGTTGGACGACATTTGATGCCAGTAATATATTTAGTAGCCAAGTTTTAGTTTGAATATTTTTGTTTACCGAAATATTTAGAAGTATATAATATAGTTTTTACTACAGTAGTTTGTACAAACTACTAGTTTGCATATTTGTAACTACTAATGATAGTGAAACAATAATGGCAGTCCTATTTCCCCCGGTTAATAATATATATATATATATATATATATATATATATATATATATATATATATATATATATATATATATATATATATATATATATATATATATATATATATATATATATATATATATATATATATATATATATATATATATATATATATATATATATATATATATATATATATATATATATATATATGACAATGTCAGACTACGGAGGAAAATGAAACAGGAATTTCCTTAAGTACTTTCGTATATTAAATACATCTTCAGAAGGAATTGATTCCTTCTGAAGATGTATTTAATATACGAAAGTACTTAAGGAAATTCCTGTTTCATTTTCCTCCGTGGTCTGACATTGTCACATTCTTAATCACGTGTTTATTTTCGTGATATACACACACACACACATATATATATATATATATATATATATATATATATATATATATATATATATATATATATATATATATATATATATATATATATATAAAGAGAGAGAGAGAGTTGTGCTCGTATCCTTGGTCCATCATATATCAATTATAGCTCGACTTTCACCATTATAGTATTAAGGATGACAATTCAAAAGCCATTTGATGACAGAGTTATGGAGCACAAAGTCACTCGTATAAGGCTGCTAGCAACTTCATGTTTTGGTCAAAATGGTGGCCACCTCAGACGACCCGGGGCCTCATTGTAGTCAAGACTGCATTGACGCTGGCCACAGGCTGCTGTGTTAGGTCTGGCAAGGAGACGGCCAACAGGTTCAGGGCTGATTGGTGACAACCGATTGGCTTAGGGCTGGTTGGTGTCGACCGCCGGATTTAAGTCTGGCAGTCAAAGACCTCAAATAACGTGGTTTCTGAGAGATCAGCATCGTCTGGCCTCTCCACCAGCGAGATCTTCTCCGGAGTGGCCGACACGAAGCGTCCTGAGGAAACACTCACGTGAGTATAAACAAACACGTGAAGGTAAACACACTTATGCTCTAAACTAAGTGCAAAAGAGCAAGAAGCTCTAATAAGCTTTACCGTCTCCAAAGACACGTTTGTTCAGTTGATTTCACGAATTATTAAACTTTTTTGCTTGCAGAATTCAAAGGATTAAAATTAATTTTACATAATAATAGATGGGCACTGAGCAGGGAATTGTTCTTATTTTTCTAGGTACATATACAGATTATCCTGCATGAATACTTAGTTTCTAACAATAACTCAACCTACGATAGCAACCTGGGGCTAGATTCACGAAAGCACTTACGAAAGTGTACATCTTTCCTCAATCTTTGACGGCTTTGGTTACATTTATTAAACCGTTTACAAGCATGAAAACTTCCCAATCTACTCTTGTTATTGTTATAAACAGCCTCCTGGTGCTTCGGAGCTCATTAACTTTTTAATTATTGGAAACAAAGCCGCCAAAGATTGAGAAAAGATGTACAGGTTCGTAAGTGTTTTCGTAAGTGCTTTCCTGAATCTGGCCCCTGGGGTATATATGCCCCTATCGTTGAATTAATGATTGAATACAGGAAATACAGAATACATCACCTGTATGAAGATGCTTTATCCTGAAGTGGCTGCTACCTTTAACGCTATGGAGGAGAAAAAACCGTACGTCGGCCTGCGTCAGACTCCTCACATCCGACGCCGGGTCGTGCTGCAGAGAGGAGCGAGAATACAGATAGATACACAGGCGATACATACATGTATCACGGACTTTTAGACAGATGGTGTATATAATTGTCACGGATACACACCAGACAGATGCTGTCTATTTGCTACGTACTCCTACGTCAGACAGGCCAAATCGGTGTGTGCAGAGAGAGGGGTCCTTACCATAAGAGCCAAATCGGTGTACGTGAGGGCGTGGAGATGGCCCTTACTGCCAGGAGTCTCGATCACTACCACCTCTCCTCCCTCTGCTGGGAACGGTGCCATGTCGAACGTGTGCATAAGGAAGCAAGCTGTGTGGGAACAAACCTAACACTTAGTCTATAAATCAGCTTAAAGCTTAGATTTACCCTCAGTGCTATAAATGGAGAACGTCCATTTATAGCACTGAGTCCATTTACGTCCATTTATGACTCCAAGCCACAAGGAAGATTTTTACTTAAGAAATTATACATATACAGTTACACTTTTAATAGGATAAGGTTCTGTGATAATATGAATATCACTTGTGATAGATATGAGACAAGAATGCCCTATTTATGAGGAGAAACCAAGAGCTGGGATATGAGGAGAGACTAGGAGCCTGGTTATGAGGATAAAGAGTTCTTTTTTAGTATAAAGAACTGTTATGCAAGAACACAAAACTAAACTGTGAGGACATATTGCTGGAATATTAGGACAAAAAAGTTTGGATATGAAAATTAACTATAAAAAATTAGTTCCCAACCACTTAAGCCATCGGGAATCGAACTCAGACCCCTGCAAGGCAAATATACTAGAGTGATGCCTTTGTATCCCCATTACAATTGTAAGCTAAAGGATATTCAATTTATGTTAACAAAATGTCAGTGTCAATTTAGACTGCTATTCGCCTGTTTAGTCCAGCAATTATCGTAATAATTTGTATAAGTTAGAAATTAAGTTTATAATTTTAAAATTATCCCACAAACAATTAATCTCATCCCAGCATCCCGTGTATCCATCCCAGCATCCCGTGTACACATCCCAGCATCCCGTGTACCTATCCCAGCTCACCTGGGCTATCAGCACCCTCCTGGGAGCCTACACTGAGGCTGGTGACAGCAGTGTTGGGGTGCGAGGTGGTGGTGAGATACAGAGGTAAATCTCCTCTTAGTCGCAGCTTCCTAGTGATGCTTCCACGATACTGTACTTGCGCCTCCCGCTCCTGTACCCACATTACAGACGCTCCTGTAAACCAAGAGTGAGATTACATGTCACGGCACACGATACAGCAATAATGTTTCAGGTAACTGAACGCTACAGGGTTTTGAAAGTTACATGCAACAATCTATACACTTTGATGAATTTATATCATACGAACGATGGAGCTTTCCCTTCCATAGATGTGTTTCCAGTTAGCAGTGAATGATATTTGATTCACGGTGTTTATAAAGTCGGCATTTCATATTAATTGACCGAGAGAGGCATTATATTTTGTTTTTTACACAGGGGGGTATAATAGACGAATTCTGACTCCTATTAGCAGACTGAGAGCTTTTCCCTCCCAAAGCTCAAAGCCTGACCTGGAAATTTTTTGCTCGAAAGAAAACAATGAAGGATGTATATAGGGGATTCTAATGTAAATTACCCACGTTTTTTCTTAATCCTGATGCTAACATCGAGCTTCTTGTTGACTGGGGCTTCGTCAGGTGATCTGACATTCTTGCCGGTTCTTCGTAATTCCTGTGGAGAGACATACAAGATGTGAGGAGCTAGGAAATTACACTTGCATACGCTTGCAGACCAACTGAATGTATTGATCTTTGAAAATGTAACAATTTCGTGTTGCACATTAAATTATTTATTATTATGATCATTATAGTGTCACTTCAGGATATCTCACCAGCATCATCTAGCACCCTTTACCACATCTCACTATTACTATCTATCACAATTCACCACTACCATCTACCACCCTTCCCCACTACCATCTACCACCCTTCCCCACTACCATCTATCACCCTTCAACACTACCATCTACCACCCTTCCCCACATCTTATCTATGTCGTTCTCATCCCATTTCTCACTCCGTCTCTCACATGTTCTACTCAGCTTACCATCCAAAAATTATTTTGTTTACAAAAGCTATGGGTTGAACACACAAAAATTATTACACTTTTCACACTTTTCTTTTTTGTAGAGGACCTGAGAAAAAAGGAAATAGTCACATTTAGAAATTTCCAGCGCTTAGTATGGTCTTTGTATATACTAAATTAGGCCTAGGATTGGTTAGCTTAGCTTAGGTTAGATTGAAGCTTTTGTTCCAGTTTTTGCAATGCCCTTTGTGGTATACCTGCCTACTAGTTGGACTAGTCGGAAGAGTGACAGCCTTACATCTTGCAAGGATCGGTGTTCGAGCCTCGAAAGTTCAAGTGGTTAGGCCCCCCTTCTCTCTCTCCCCCCTTCTTATCGTCCTATCCTAACTCCTTATCCTCATATCCCTCCCAAGTGCCATGTAGATTTGGATTCGTCGATTCCGTCAAAAAAATGCGACGCACTAGGTGATAGGAGGAGGCTACAAAGGGCTAGACCTATGCAGGCGATGAGTCACAATAACGTGGCTAAAGTATGTTGACCAGACCACACACTAGAAGATGAAGGGACGACGACGTTTCGGTCCGTCCTGGACCATTCTCAAGTCGATTGTGTCGACTTGAGAATGGTCAAGTCTTTGTATGTCTGGTCAACGTACAAAGGGCTTGACCTCACCAGACACAGTCGGAAGTCCACTACGGTGTCGGGGGTGACCTGGCCGGAGACGCAGGCAAGGGGAAGGTTCCTGACGAAGGCCAGGACGCTCCGATGGGACCAGCCTTCAAGGCTCAAGTCATTGAGTTTTATTAGTCTGTCCTGAGGCCTGGAGAGGAGGCGAGGGAGAAGTAGATTAATCAAATTACTCAGATTACAAGTTGATTATTCCAATTGTTTCCTGGGTATTATCAGTTTTTATAAATATTATGATCAATTGTTTTTAATTATTTAGTGTTCTGAGGTGTATAAATGTGTTTTAATGAGCTTATTTTGGTGTGATTGATGTGGGTGTGTATAGGTTGTTGACATATTGCCCTTTTCATTTAGTCCAACCACTTGGGTCGGACGGTAGAGCGACGGTCTCGCTTCTTGTAGGTCGGCGTTCAATCCCCGACCGTCCAAGTGGTTGGGTACCATTCCTTCCCCCCGTCCCATCCCAGATCCTTATCCTTACCCCTTCCCAGTGCTATATAGTCGTAATGGCTTGGCGCTTTCCCCCCCTGACAGTTCCCTTCTCCACCAGCACCCTTTCCCTTCTCCTTTCCTGCACTCTTCCTCTTTCCCTTCCAGCATCCCTCCCCTACTCACTTCATCTTGAGGACAGCGAGGGGGGAGACTGGAGACACCTTGTAAACAAAGTGATCTCCCATCACCTGGTCGGTGGCCAAAAAGATGCCCAGAGAGATGCTGGAGCCCTGAACGGCGCCCACACAAGGGTCGTACATCGTCAGCTCCGTCACGAACTTGTCGGAGAGATTCAACTGTAACCAGCGGGTGAATTGGTGATTACTAGTAGTAGTAGGTGTGGTTGTAGATAGTTTGGGTGGTATCTGGTGATTAGTGGTGGAAGTGTGGTTGATAGCTTGGATGGTGTCTGGTGATTAGTGGTGGTAGTGTGGTTAATAGTTTGGGTGGTATCTAGTGATTAGTGGTGGTATTTTGGGTGGTATCTGGTGATTAGTGGTGGTAGTTTAGGTGGTATCTGGTGATTAGTGGTGGTAGTTTGGGTGGTATCTGGTGATTAGTGGTGGTAGTGCGGTTAATAGTTTGGGTGGTATCTGGTGATTAGTGGTGGAAGTGTGGTTGATAGTTTGGGTGGTATCTGGTGATTAGTGGTGGTAGTTTGGTTGATAGTTTGGGTGGTGTCTGGTGATTAGTGGTGGTAGTTTGGTTGATAGTTTGGGTGGTGTCTGGTGATTAGTGGTGGTAGTTTGGTTGATAGTTTGGGTGGTATCTGGTGATTTATAGTAGTAAATCGAGAGGCAACAGCATACTCCTTTGGGAAAGAATATAAAACAAAAAAATATAATGAAGTATGGAATGTTAACAGCCCTTCGGATCAAAAAATCTTCATTAAATAACAAAAATGAATAATTTACTAACATTCATATAATTAACTCTATATAATTAGCAAATATAATTGACACACAATCAACATAATATTTAATTTTACATACATAAGGCACAACGGCAGTTATACTATGTAGAACCGTAATGTATATTAATCAGTTATTAAATAATTATTAAATAATTATGTCGGTGACAGGCAGCCTGCGTCTATACATACGCTAAGCTTATATCGAGGTCCTCCAATGGTCGAACTACTGACCCCCCCCACCCCTCCAACATCAGAATGCAGCCCCATTAAGAATCTATCTTTTGGATTCCTATTTACTACTAGGTAAACGGCATTAGGTGATAGAAGACGTGTCCAACCATTTCTGTCTTTCCCGGGATTCGAACCCGGGATTTCCGATTGTGAGTCAAGGACGAACTCAACCGTACTACGTACCGTGAATCCCGAAGCCCGACTGCTTCTCCTGGTGAAGGCTCTCTTGACAGGAGACGCAGGTGGAGGCGTAGGGGACGAGGACCAACTCGAGGATGCGGACGAGGTCCTGGATTTCCCGGAGGTCCCTGGAAAGGTATTACTGTCGCTCTCGAAGGTGATGGCGCTCAGGATGGAGTTGTTGCTCGAGACGTCCACATCCTCGTTCTCCACCAAGCTGCTGGGACGCTCAAACGACACTGGACCTGGTGGTGGGGGTGATGGTGAAGTTAGTACTCGATAGTGACGACTTATTATCTGAGAGCTCAATATTGTGACACTTATGGTGAAGTGGATTAGTATTATTGACTTGGTATAAAGTGGGTTAGTACTCTGTTATAGAATACTATCAGAGTACCGTAGAGTCTCTATTGCGACACGACCTCTGTGTAGTGTGAAAAACCTGTAATCAAGTAACATTATATATGATCAGAGTAAGGTATTGTGAAATGGAGAATTAATAGTCAAGAGCAACATATACAAATATTCTGGTTAAATGTAACCATATTTGCACAACTTCAGACATTCGAGGTATTTTTTGTACATGAATGAGTACTATGTTTAATGAAATTTAGCGCAGCTAAAAAACTAAAATATCAAATTCGTTTCATAAGAAAATTTTTGTAGTCTGTGGTTAAAATACTTCGTGTTCTGTGACGTGAAAGAAAATAAATATTCCTAATTTCAGCATAAACTATGGTAAAATATCATTTATATGAAACACTGCCAAAATAAAGGGGTGAAATTCTAATAGATAAAACAGTTATAGATAAGAATGATCATAGATGTTAGATGGTTTCCATTGTGGAGAGATGGAGGATGGGAGAGAGGATAGAAAACCTGTACTTAGACTTATCAAGTTCTTCGTAAAATCCAACATCTTACCTTTTTATCAACTGTAGTTTAAGCATATCAATTGTTTAATAAATGTAAACAAAAAACGTCGTCATTGAAGAAAGATATACAGGTTTCGTAAGCAGTTGTGTAAAATGTTTGATGAATCTTGGTCTAGCTACCTGCAGAGAACACACAAACTTCGACCTACAGAAAAAAAATAAAGCGATGGGATCTAATTCCTCTACTGATATTGTGCTACTTGTTACTTACGAGCAGTGTGTCCATCAGCCTCGCCTGGGGTGTCGCTCTCTGCTGGTGGGTCATCACTGAAATGAAGAGAAATGAATATATGTTAAGTACGAGAAATAGTCTTTTTAAATGCATCAATTCTAGTCACACAAACACACACACACATAGGCGGGACCAAAGAGCCAAAGCTCAACCCTCCCAAAAATAACTCGTATACACACACACACACACACACACACACACACACACACACACACACACATACACATACACATACAAATACACATACACATACACATACAAATACATACAAATACACATACAAATACATGAGGCGGGACCAAAGAGCCAAAGCTCAACCCCCGCAAGCACAATTAGGTGAGTACATTCCCTGTCCATGTATGAGCCCATTACTGACTTTCAACCTCTCTCTGCCTCTCAGCCCCTCCCTGCCTCTTGCTCACCAAACTCTTTCTACCTCATAACCACTCATTGCAATACCACGTCCTTCTCCCACATGAAACCACTAGAGGAGTCTTAAGGTATGGTACACCAATGCTGATAGACTTACAAATAAAGCAGAGGAAATAAAAGAAAGGGTGATAATTAGTGTAATCGACTGTGTGGGAAAAGAGAAAATGTTCACAATGAATACCAGTGGATAGAAGCTAGTGAATGAAAAGGGCGTGGATAGAAACTTGAGACTCAGATGAATCATAGAGATGTTAGAATGTTTTCTTTTAGCATATGAGTAGCGCGGAAATAGAAAGAAATAAAGGAGCAGGATGTTGAAACGAACTCCATTCACAGTTTAAATGTATATATGATAGGGAAATAGGTCAGGAGTCATTGCAAACACACACACACACACACACACACACACACACACACACACACCAATAACTACATACACTGCTGAAATTCTGGTAAACACCTAAATCCATGAGACTTCTCACCCACTGTCCTTCAGTTCTGTCTTCTCCAGATCCGTGGCCACCAACCCCACCTGCAAGGAACAGTTTCGTGCGTAATATGGCATATCTGTCAATATTAAATTACGCAATGATGATAATTAATTGAGGCCGTTATCAAATAACGAATGAAAATTAATGTATTGTCATCTTCAGATATGAATATAATGCGTAGGTTCATATGTCCATAGTTCACTAATGTTTGCTTGATAATTACTTGCCAGTAAAGTTTCGTGTATTCACACTTGGCTTGTAAAGTTTGGCACGATTTTGCAGCTTAAGGTCAGTGCTGAGGGTACTAAATGGCAGACTTTGTGGTACAAGACTGTGTGATACGGTTAACAGTACCATGAATATAATGTATAGATATATCCGTATCAGTGGTGTACAGGAAGCCAGTGAACAGCGCTGAGATTACTCATCCTTGTGAGTGACGGTCGTTGCTTGAGCAACAATGTCCTCTCAACTCATAGGTCGCGATTTGTACGTTAAGGAAGCCAACGTTATACATGCAAAATACGATGAAATGTAACGCCTGACTGATCTCTAATTTTCTATGCCTCGGAGTGATAGAATGACCAAATAACACATCAGAAAGTGCAGAAACGACGACGTTTCGGTCCATCGTTGACCATGATCAAGTCGATCCAAGACGGACCGAAACGTTGTCGTATCTTCAGTTTCATATGTATGGTTTGGTCATCATATCATCAGCCACATTACTGTAACTCATCGCCAGTATCGGAGTAATATGTTAGGTGGGTTGCTTAGGTTCGTACGTTTCCGGGAAAGTTAGGAAAATAGATTTTTATAGAGAGAGATTATCTCAATCTCAAGCCTGACTTGAGACCAGTCTCTAGGAGGGAGAAGATTGAGAGGAGAAATGGCTTGAGTATACAGATGGTAAGGTAATTATGAGGAGAAAGCGCTACGCCAGTGGGACTATGCATTATATACAAAGATATGAAAGTTAAGTAGTAGTAATAGTCTTGGGAGAGTCTTGGAAGACTCCTATCCTGCAGTCTTGGGAGACTATGGAGTTGTGTTCTGGGTGTTGAGGCTGGAGTAGCCTCTCCAGGGCACAAGGCCAGGGGGGGGGGTAGATAGTGTATAATATAGATTATAGATATTGATAGCGTAGCCATTTATATATATATATCAACAATACAGAACACGAAGCTATGCAAAAAATTAAGACAATAATCAAAATCAAATTGGGCAAATGCTATTTTGGAAATAGGACTGGAGATTTGTTTTAGCAAGTTATCGGGTAACGGAACAGACGGAGGACTGCTGGATTGTTTCAAGCGTAGGTTAAACAAATATTTTAGTATGATATGAAACAAATAGACACTTAAGTCTCCAATGATTTGTCGACATCTTATCGACGTTTTGTTATCTATAGTTATGAATGGCAAACAGTGTTCATTACTACGTTGTCCAACATCATTGTTGTGTATGGTGAGGTAGATAAGAGATTGATTCCCATTACCATACAAGAAATTGTCTATCCTGTAGACTAATTCACCTTTCCAAAGTCCTTGGAAAGCACACCAGCATTCTATTTATTGTCCTGTCTTGTCTAACAGAGTATTTAGGCAGGTCACTTAAGTGTAACGAATATATAAAATAGTATTGTAGCGAGTACAATGTTTTCATTATGAGAAACTAAGAATACAATGCTTATTTCCTAGTTATATGTACGAAGAAAAAGAAATGGTGTATGTGTGTGTGTGTGTGTGTGTGTGTGTGTGTGTGTGTGTGTGTGTGTACTCACCTATTTGTACTCACCTATTTGTGCTTGCGGGGGTTGAGCTTTGACTCTTTGGTCTTTGGCTCTTTGTGTGTGTGTGTGTGTGTGTGTGTGTGTGTGTACTCACCTAATTGTGCTTGCGGGGGTTGAGCTTTGGCTCTTTGGTCAGGTTGTGTGTGTGTGTGTGTGTGTGAGTGTGTGTGTGATCTTGGACTCACCATGCCATCCTCACCAATCTCTTCCCCTATGACGTCTTCTTCTGTAATGGTAGCCACGTTTACCCCTCGCCATCCAGCCATATCTAAGCTGACTGCTTCTTTTGCTGTGGGTGCTGCTGGAGCTTGTACCAAGGTGCGCCCGACCCTACCAGGCACATCTGAGTGTATAAAGACGCCAGTCTTCCGTTTCTCGTTCCGTTCAATGTGTTCTGATTCCACGAATCTTCTGTTGCTACCACAGCTGTTGTCTCTATGGTGGGTTAGGATTCACCTGTTGGTCTCGATGTTGTTGCTTAGTCTGGTCGCTCGTTGGAGTCATTCACTCGCTCACCTGTATATGTAAGTCTAATGCAGTTACCATATTATATATTGCTGTTTGGGGGAACAGGGATAATGTGTGTGTTTTGATTTTGTGATTTATGAGCAGCATGTGAGTTTCAATGTGACTTAACGAGTGATTCCTTGATAATATAAACTTTGCTTTATCAAGTAAACATGTAGTGATGAATAATATGTAACTAAAACATTATTATTCATTTTCTAGATAATAACTTCATGGATACAATCACCATTACACAACTATGTCAAATTTTACTACTGTAGTTTCTTCAACTGTAATGATGGCTCTGAACTAGATCTCTGAATAGCTACACTGTGTATGGTTCTGTGAGAGTCAGTAGGCATGAAAGTATGTATTAATATATATAATATCTGATGTAGTAGATTGTATCCTCATGAAATACATTTGTGCATTTAGACCTATTTAGACCTATAGACCTACAATTTAGACCTATTGCCTTGTGTATGATCGTCGGTCGTGTGTGACAGGGAATACGAGCAGCACCTCACAGTAAAGAACCTAACTGAATTACTCAGAATTAGTAATTCTAATTAGTAATTAGATTAGACAGAACTGAATAGTAATATCGTCACTAAATATGTTATTCATCAATGAATCCCCAGAACTTGTAATAACCGCAGAACTTGTAATAACCGCAGAACTTGTAATAACCGCAGAACTTGTAATAACCGCAGAACTTGTAATAACCGCAGAACTTGTAATAACCGCAGAACTTGTAATAACCGCAGAACTTGTAATAACCGCAGAACTTGTAATAACCGCAGAACTTGTAATAACCGCAGAACTTGTAATAACCGCAGAACTTGTAATAACAACCCCCCATTGTTCATTTTTACACATGAATTACTGAATCGAGAATCGATGATTCCACAAAAGCTCTCTTGATAGAGTCACGAGAGGGCGAGATGAGGCCAGATATGCGGGAATCGAACCTGAGACTTTTCTATCATGGACATACGCTAACCACTACGCCAAAGAATTTTGTTGACTTCTACTGTTAGAAGTAGACCAACTTCTTTCATAAATATGAAACGTGCTAATAATAAATAAGTGAAAAACAAATGAAACGAATATCTTAATGTAAATAACATTGTAACATATAAGGGCAGGCTGCTGGCCAGCTGTGGTCCCGAACTGTTGGCCCAACTCCAAGAACTGAAAGTCATGTTCAGTGTTGGTCCATGTTGGTCCATGTTGGGCCATGTTGGTCCATGATGGTCCAGGTTGGTCCATGTTGGTACATGTTGGTGATGGTATGAACTCTTAAGAGAGTTAGGAGAAATCATTTCATTTTCAATTTGAACTCCTTCCTTGGAGCACTATTTCTCTCTCTCTCTCTCTCTCTCTCTCTCTCTCTCTCTCTCTCTCTCTCTCTCTCTCTCTCTCTCTCTCTCTCTCTCTCTCTCTCTCTCTCTCTCTCTCTCTCTCTCTCTCTCTCTCTCTCTCTCTCTCTCTCTCTCTCTCTCTCTCTCTCTCTCTCTCTCTCTCTCTCTCTCTCTCTCTCTCTCTCTCTCTCTCTCTCTCTCTCTCTCTCTCTCTCTCTCTCTCTCTCTCTCTCTCTCTCTCTCTCTCTCTCTCTCTCTCTCTCTCTCTCTCTCTCTCTCTCTCTTTCTGTTGAACTAAGACTAGATTCTAGATTTAATATAGAAATTCCTTGACGTTCTTAAAGAAACTGACAGCTAAAATTCTTGTCCTACATATACTATAGTAGAATGATTGATTTAGTAATAAGTTAAAATTATGTTAGGGAAGAGGATGGAGATTGAGCCAACTGAGTGCCAGAACCTTCACTTGGTCGGAAAACTGGATTTAACGTTTGCTTTTTTAATAAAACTCTGTAGTCTCTCTTCCCATACTTCTTGTTTTTACTCTTTGTTCATTCTTCCCTACTCTCGTCTTCCTTGCTTTCTCTGTTACCTGACCCTTGCTTGATGTTGGACCGTTACCTGACCCTTGCTTGATGTTGGACCGTAATGTGATCAACATCGTTTAAGAGGCTGTTTGTACTAATGACCTTCCACAAATGAACTTTAAATATTGTTAACCAAATAAATTTATCTGTATCCACTGTTTTCATATAATAATGTAGCTATCGATGTTGTTGCAATATATCTTCTATGCTCTTGTAAACAATTTATCTTTAGATTTTGTATTAAAAATCCTTCAAATTGGTCGAATACAAATACCAAAAATACAATAAACAAGAAGACTCTGTAGGAAAAAGCACACAATGTAAACACAAAGTTATTTTTACAATATTTACTCTATAAACAACGTAATTATATAAAAACCGTAGTGGTTATATTGTATATTTACTGAGTTTATTGCCCCTTTGGACGCAGGAGGCGTGGGGGGGGACGTCGTTAGGACGTGTTCTCCATAGACTATGCACAAGGGGAAGAGCTTGTGAGGAACAGAGAGAAATATTCAGAGTTTCAGAATACTCTGAAACTCTAATGACAGACTCATCGTCTTTCCTCATGATTGGCCATTGATCAGCCCCATTCCCCATCACGGCCACAGACCAGCCCCCACTTTCCTCGTATGGGTCTGAGTTCTGAGTGTTTTAGCATTATTCATACTGATGTTATGCATCTAACTGTAACTACATTTGGAACTGATCTATGCTACATCTCTGTATCTTTGTTGGTGCTGATGTATGTCTGTTCTCAGTATCTATATATATATATATATATATATATATATATATATATATATATATACAGAAAAATATTTGTTCGAATTTGGAGGCCAAACATGGAAGAAAGGAAGGAGGAGAAGAGAGAGAAGAAGGAGGAAATTAGGGGAAATGGGATGGAATATGAGAGGGGGAGAGGGAGAATGGGGGGGGGGTGACAAGACTGCCCCGGGCAGCGCCGGGTACCACCCTTTAGGAAATTTATTAAATCCTCTGATTATCGCGAGCATCAAAAATATTTTATGACGCATTTCTTTAAATAAAATATATGATAATATTGTCTATAATAATAATTACAATATAATAACTATAATAACCAATATTATTATAATTATATTTTATTAATTATCATTGCAATTATTAGTAAGTGAATTATCAATATTACCTAATATAGCAAAATCTTTAATACACAGTTATGAGTAAGGAAAGATGGGAATGAAACAATTAACAAAATAAAACAGACTTACTAACATTGAGAGCTTCAAGAGTTGTCTTCTAGTCCCTGAACCTTCTCCACACTCTTACTCTTACCTCTTCTCAAGACCCAGCTCTCTCTCCTCTACTCGAGGAGTCGTCTCTAATCTCTTCCCTGGAGGAAGTGGCCCAACCTAACCTTCCATATCCACGCGAATTGGCTTCGTTTGACTAGTGTGGCACCGAATTAAAAGACACAGTTATATGCTGTGTAGAGCCAATCGCCGCTGGCACCAAGGACTGCTACGCGCATGTGCAAAGCTCCTACCCCATAAAGTTTCCATTGGTATGATAAACAACTTGATTATCTTCAGCACCTTCGTGAGTGATTATTTCATACGACTCACAGATCATCTGTTTATTGTGTTATTGACTTTCCCGCTTCGACTTGCGCTTTGAAATTGGGGAAATTGGAGGGTTAAAATTGGGTAAGTGAAGCGGGTAGCAAGAGACAGTGTCTCACGTCCACACTACTGTTATCGGTACGGGCTTCCTGTCACCACGTGAGCTTAGAGGTTTTACCCCCTGTCTGTTTCTCATAGGATCCGTAGCGACATTATCCCGTCAGTGTGTTAAGAGGATATATTGGGATATCTCCCGTCTGTGTCATGGGATTTATAGGGATATCCCCCGTCTGTGTATCATGGGATTTATAGGGATATCTTCCGTCTGTGTGTCATGGGATTTATAGGGATATCTTCCGTCTGTGTCATGGAATTTATAGGGATATCTCCCGTCTGTGTGTCATGGGATTTATAGGGATATCTCCCGTCTGTGTCATGGGATTTGTTAGGATATCTCCCATCTGTGTATCATGGGATTTATAGGGATATCTCCCGTCTGTGTATCATGAGATTTCTTGGGATATCCCCCGTCTGTGTCTTGGGATTTAGAGGGATATCTCCCGTCTGTGTCATGGGATTTATAGGGATATCTCCCGTCTGTGTCATGGGATTTATAGGGATATCTCCCGTCTGTGTATCATGGGATTTGTAGGGATATCACCCGTCTGTGTGTCCTGATTATGTAACGATATCACTCGCTAGTCTTGGGATATATTGACTCATCACATGTGTCTTGAAATACATAACGACATTACCCGATTGTGTGATGTTGGATACATAACGCCAGTACCCGGCTGTATTCTAGTCTATGTAGCCCCCAAATACTTGTCTATGTGTCCTAGACTATGTAGCCTCAACATTCGTATATGTGTCTTGTACTAGATCTAAGTAGCGCTGCCGATACAAGGAATTGCTTTAAATCTCTGAAATCTTAGTCTTATTTAAACGAGAATTAATAATTCCGTTCATGTATTAACACAATACGCTGAACTTCAGTGCATTATAATCTAACCAAACTGAAATCCAATTAATCATATGGAATTAAAATAAAAAGATTTATAATTGGTTATGATTGTTAGTTATTGTATTAGAAACAGATTTAGTTTTTTGTGACAATTACACATATAGGTTCAGAATCATGAACGTATATATTATGACATGTGTGAGTGACATACTTACATATAGAGTGACATACGATGTTACTGAAAATTCTTTGACAGACATTCGCACTGTGTATAATAAGACATCTTGTGTGTGTTTGTGTTTGTGTGTGTGTGTGTGTGTGTTCGTGTGTGTGTGTGTGTGTGTGTGTGTGTGTGTGTGTTGTGTGTGTGTGTGTGTGTGTGTGTGTGTGTGTTCATGTGTGTGTGTGTGTGTGTTCGTGTGTGTGTGCACGCAAACAGAAGGACAATAAAACTCAAATATTTCATCTGTGGTTATTATCGTCTAAATTTACAGAAAATTGTAATTTCCACAATTTTGCGGCAGAATAACACCATGAGACAAACTCTCAGAGCTCCCGGACGCCAGAAGCTTAGAGTTCCATGGCCCAAAGAACTTGAAGGTCCATGAGAAGACTGCTATCTGAGCGCAACCTGAATGGACAAACGTATGTTCGCCAGGCTTGTCATTTGGACCCCCTACTGGTTCATTTTTGGTATCCGGACACCAAACGTGTTTAAAGTTGCCATCTTACATACACCAAACTATCTCAGTGATGCTCTTCGGAAATCAAACATGATCCGTTTTGCTATACAACTCCATAGAAAATCGAAAACAATTCCAAGGACTTTGAGTAAAACAAATTATGTTAATTGTACTGAAGTGGACAAATCAGCTCTTAACTCTGGTCTTCAGAGTGACGTCCAGCATGCTTGTTTAATGTCTGTCTAGTTCCTAATCTTTTTCTAACAATATTAACCACCGCCTAATCACTGCTGATTGACTGGTTGAAGTTCAATAGATATCACACAGCATCAGAATGCAAGAAGCTGCAGTAGGCCTCTTCAGGCCCAAACCAAACTCGTTCATATATACCTTTCTAACCTTTGCTTGAAACAATTCAGCCTCTCGGAAAACAGCGTGCATGAGGCGCGAACTATTCCCAGGTGACCTCAAACCTCATTAAACGATCTCGCTCTTGTGTTAATACAATTATTAAATACATTACCATCGGCTTAATTATCAGAGATGAATGAGTGACTGACTGGTCAGACACTGTCAACAATGACTCCGAGATGTCACCAAGAGAAGTACAGGCTAACAAGAGCTTATAATTTAAATGCTAAGAGCCCATCCTCCTAAAACGATTGTATTTACAGTAACTATTTGGTCGAAAGTACCAATATGTAGTGATGGACCCCCCAGAAAGTACCAGTATGTAGTGATGGACCGCCAGAAAGTACCAGTATGTAGTGATGGACCGCCAGAAAGTACCAGTATGTAGTGATGGACCCCCAGCAAGTACCAATATGTAGTGATGGACCCCCAGAAAGTACCAATATGTAGTGATGCACCCCCAGAAAGTACCAATATGTAGTGATGGACCGCCAGAAAGTACCAGTATGTAGTGATGGACCGCCAGAAAGTACCAATATGTAGTGATGGACCCCCCAGAAAGTACCAATATGTAGTGATGGACCGCCAGAAAGTACCAATATGTAGTGATGGACCTCCAGAAAGTACCAATATGTAGTGATGGACCGCCAGAAAGTACCAATATGTAGTGATGGACCCCCCAGAAAGTACCAATATGTAGTGATGGACCGCCAGAAAGTACCAATATGTAGTGATGGACCCCCAGAAAGTACCAATATGTAGTGATGGACCCCCAGCAAGTACCAATATGTAGTGATGGACCCCCAGAAAGTACCAATATGTAGTGATGGACCCCCAGCAAGTACCAATATGTAGTGATGGACCCCCAGAAAGTACCAATATGTAGTGATAGACCCCCAGAAAGTGATGGACCCCCAAAAAATTTACTTTTATGTTATATAATTTGGACAACCCAAACATTTTCATTAACCGCATCAAACAGAATCTAACCTTCCCTACCAATACAAGGCCTAACACACGCTTCCTTATCCCTAATATAGTACATATAAGTAATATAATGGACCTAAGAATAACCTACTTTGGTTTTTAGCTGAATTTTGCCCCTCTATATAATTAAATGCACAAAAACATTTACTATTTGGCTGATCCAACACAATATAATGGCACTTTTGACCAAATAGTTACAATAAATACGATTATTTCTGGAGAATGAGTTGGCTAAGTAAAGGGTTAGTGATTGTCTTTTGTTCATATCTTTGCCTTGATTCTCAACACGAAGGAGAGAAGTTCCAAGATATAGAATGTTAGTGGAAATTGTTATTGAGAACGCGGCCTCTGCGTGGGCCTGCGTGGGCCTGCGTGGGGCTGTCTGATCGCCCAGATCCTGCATAAGGCTTTCTGATTACCCAGATCCTGCATAAGGCTTTCTGATTGCCCAGATCCTGCATGGGGCTGTCTAGTCTAGCACCACTAGTAATAATACTGTAACACTAGTAAGTGAGCAGAACTAGTGAGCGAAATACGCAATACGAGCTAGATGAAAATCCCAACAAGCACACAATGTAACGATAATGTTATTATTAACGTTGTAGCAACGTATAACCATTGTCTGAACGTTATGTGTTTGTTCAGATGTACATACAACTCGTCTGCAATGTTCTGCAACGTTGACAGAGGCTTGTGGGCTATAACATGATCCCTTCAAACACACACAACATTTGGATTAATCTTTGGTGCAGAATCGTGGGATGAGCCAGCATGCTGGGTCAATTAACATGGCGCCGGGTCCTGCTCCAATGAGTTTGATCGCGTGCATCGCGGCATTGTGTTTTAAATGGCGTTTCAACGCCATAGGATGAACGTTGCGTTTATGTCGTGTGTTTTAGTGCTTTTAGACACAAGTTCAAGTACGTTTATTGAAACAAGAAAATACATCTCAAAGGGATAAAGTAGCATAGGCTATTTCTACCCCTTTGGACACTTCACGCCGCGGGCATTAGAGGGCACGGAATCGCTCTCAGTTAGCAGGCCCCTTCTTCTTGAGGTTATCTTGAGATGATTTCGGGGCTTTAGTGTCCCCGCGGCCCGGTCCTCGACCAGGCCTCCACTCCCAGGAAGCAGCCCGTGACAGCTGACTAACACCCAGGTACCTATTTTACTACTAGGTAACAGGGGCATAGGATGAAAGAAACTCTGCCCATTGTTTCTCCCCGGCGCCTGGGATCGAACCCAGGACCACAGGATCACAAGTCCAGCGGGCTGTCCGCTCGGGCGACCGGCTCTCTTCCAACCACTGTTGGTCGGGTATGACCGTGCAACAGATGCCCCCCATTGCAAGGCTCTTATCAACAAACACGCAACGTTTGGGCTGTCTTTGTGGGGTTACAGGTTAAAAAACAAAACATTAATTAACATCAAAACATTAACATTAATAAAGTAAAAATATTTACCTTTTGAGCAAAGATAAAGCTACCATGTGCCATTTCTGTAAGGCTTATTAAGCTTTTGTAATCTATCTGGTCGCTTAAGTATAAATTACAGTAAATAGGAATAGGAATAAATGCATATAATGGTTAATAGGCACATGCCACCTGGTCTCACAATGCAACGTAATTTTGACGTATCACCTTCAGTGTCTTAATGATAGACGTTTAATGTATAATTTGAGCACTGACGTTCTGACGTTCCCGCAGGCTAATTATCATCGGCCTCTGTGGATTTGGTGGGTTGCCCAGGTTCTTTCATTTCAGGGGCCAGATTCACGAAGCAGTTACGCAAGCACTTACGAACCTGTGCATCTTTTTTCAATCTTTGGTGACTTTGTTTACAATAATTAAACAGCTAATGAGCTCTGAAGCACCAGGAAGCTGTTTATAACAATAACAAAAGTTGATTGGCAAGTTTTCATGCTTGTAAACTGTTTAATAAACGTAACCAAAACCGTCAAAGATTGAGGAAAGATGTACACGTTCGCAAGTACTTGTGTAACTGCTTCGTGAATCTGGCCCCAGGTCTTTTCCATTTCAAGATTTACACTCATCAAATCCTGAGAACAGTCTGATTACAGATATTCATCTACAATCACAATCATGTATCCTAAGAAGAGTATATAACATGAGTAATTAGTGTTACTAAAGAATATATATACTCTCCTTCGCTATATCTTCAATTATAACAACATAGCTTTCGTCCTTACATTCAAAAACTCAATATATGTCATCCGTAAAAATAATGAATAAATGTTGCTTAAATTCGCACATTATATTATCATACACAAATGCCATTTTATGTATCAAAGGTTCAATTGAGCTTGATTTTTTTTTCTTACAAAGCCCCTACATCGCTCAGAGATTCCAACGCTAAATGAGCTTCCTCAGTTCACACTAGAAATAAAGAACAAATGCCCATTATTGCTTAACATTTGATGCCTATACCTTGAATTCACATTTGTTTGCGTATTCGCAAATATCAGACTCAGTTCTGTCCAGCATTGTCTTCCCAAAACACACTATTTCACTATATTTTACATCAAAGCTAATAACTATATAATAATTGGATCTTAAATATCAGGAAATTATTTTTCTTTCATTTATCATATTCTGCATATTATCAACACATGTTTAATCCTTGACTAATGTCTTTGACCACATCAGCACTGAGCCATAAGTGTCAAAGGCGATCTAGATTTGTCTCCTCATTTGACGGAAGTTTGACACGAGATTAAACCACATCAACACTAGATCACTCGTTTTCAAAGGTAGCTATAGTCTCGTGGCTTGGTCTCGGTTGAACATAGAGGTCAGCCCAGGTCAACACTGGGACACATGCTCGAAGTTGATGAGGAAGCCGGTGTGTCCAGTGGCCTCATCAGAGTGGAAGTGGAACTTTAGGCTAGTGGCCCCTGGCTGGTAGGACACAACCCCTGCAGGAAAGAAAATGAGAGATGGAACAATATCGAAAAACAGTGTAAATGTTAAATACTGTGTTTGCCAGCGTGTTAGTCGCACCTCGTTTACGTGAATATTTCGTGTGTTGTAAACAAAAAGTTAGTTTCATCACATATTCCGTGTACTGAAATTAATTTTCAATAGGATTCGCAAGGGAAAACTGGATTTTTTGTATGTTTGTACAATTAATATTTAGTTTGGGAAGGCGAAAACGAACATCCAATCCTCTGGCAAATATGTCACATCAACAGTCTGAATAGTCGTTTTAAACTATAAATACACTGAACAAATCCACAAGAGCCGTGATGAGGATTCGAACCTGCGTCCGACAGCATCCCGAAGTAATGAAATTTATTTATTTATTTATTTATTTATTTATTTATTTATTTATTTATTTATTTATTTATTTATTTATTTATTTATTTATATATATATACAAGAAGGTACATTGGGATTGTGAGGATACATAATATAGTAATTACAGTCTTGTAAAGCCACTAGTACGCGCAGCGTTTCGGGCAGAAGTCTCAGTTGTGTTTCGGGGCTTAGCATTCCCGTGACCCGGTCCTCGACCAGGCCTTCTGGTCTCATACATGAAACATATTTCTCCTTGCTTAAAAATATGACTAATTCTTCCTAAACTCAATGAGTCTATTTCATTAAAACCTCCTATTTTACATATGCAATAAGGTATTTAGTTACATATTTTTTTCTCACAAAAAACCTCTGTTGCTTCCTAAACTCACAAGAAAAGTTGACCTTGCCACAGAGGAAGCCACAGGAGGGCAAGTGTAGGAAATCCGTACAGGCTCCCCCGAAGATAGTGTCAAGAGCAGGTTCCATCTCAAAGGTGACGGATTGCATCCTCACCCCACACACCTCCTGACTCGGTCTGAAGAAGAAGAAGGAGGTAAACGTAGCAATATAATCTAAAACCCGAGTTAGCATAACATTCTGAAGACACACACCTTGAACTTGCCATATAAATAAAAACACAACATTTGATCTCTAATGTTGGTTAGGCTAGATTAGGATAGTTTAGGTTATATTTGGGTTAGATTGGGTCATGGTTGGGTTGAGTTCTGTTTACCTAAAAAATCAGCATTGACGTAAAGGTGCTGGAATAAAGGCCCGCTTTTCTGGCGTTCAGTTCCACATAGTAATCCTACCTGTTTCTTCTGATCATTACTTCTAATTTCCTTGTAAACTTTCAAGGTTTACCTGATGAACTCGTAGACACAGTCGAGGTTGTCCGGGTATTTCTTGGGGTGATAGGGCGTGTTGACGGTGCCCCTGGTGTCGGTGATCCTTGTATAACAAGGAGCTGAAGACGTGCCCGGGATGGTGGAGATTGGAGGCTGCTGCGTCTGGTACGGCCCCAAGCACTTGGTCAGTAACTCATATCTGAGGAAGAGAACGCTCAACTAATGGCTGGTAATGTTATGCACAGCCTCGGAGCTCGTAAATAGTTTAATAAATACGGGTTACGAGCTCTGAAACAGTATTTAGTTGACCAGACCCCACACACTAGAAGGTGAAGGGACGACATTTCGGTCCGTCCTGGACCATTCTCAAGTCAATTGTGTCATTCACAATCGACTTGAGAATGGTCCAGGACGGACCGAAACGTCGTCGTCCCTTTACCTTCTAGTGTGTGGTCTGGTCAACATACTTTAGCCACGTTATTGTGACTCATCGCCTGCACAATATTTAGTTCTCTCTCTCTCTCTCTCTCTCTCTCTCTCTCTCTCTCTCTCTCTCTCTCTCTCTCTCTCTCTCTCTCTCTCTCTCTCTCTCTCTCTCTCTCTCTCTCCTTTAATAAATCCATGTCTTTTTTTATATCCTACCTGATCCTGAAGCCATTGCGCCCTTCAGAGACCTCGCCAGCGTGGAAGACGAACCTGATTGCCGTAGCTGCAGGCTGGAACAGGTACTGAACTGTGGGAGGAGAAAGCCAATGATAACCTGTACGCTTCGCGGGGCTTATAAGTTGATCCATAAATCCTTACGATTGGTAGAGAAGTAGTCTGTGAGAAACTTGATATTATTAAGCAATTGTCTCTGTTTCGGCAGCAGATCATGTCTAGAGGGATAGCGTCATATTAGACAATTATATGTGAACTGATTCAGTCGTATCAGACAAGAATGTCTGTAAGAATACACTCAGATCATAAAGGATTGTCTGTAAGAATACACTCAGATCATAAAGGATTGTCTGTAAGAATACACTTTGATCAGATAAACACTAAAATAATAATATGCATGGGTTTTAATTTGGCGAATTGTTGCAATTTAATATTTATAGTGTTTTAAGCTAAACACGAAGCTTAACACGAAGAGAGAAGATTTGATAGCTAAGTGCTATCTATTACTGATACACTCTAAGAACAGATACACGGACCAGTACGGACAGAACATGAAGTACCACAGGCAGGGAGAAGGTCACTGTGATCATAGGTCCTTGTCCTTGTCACGTTCATCGTCAGTTCTTTTTGCCTCAAATAGGGAACCATAGTTAGGATACCTCATTTAAGTAAATAAACTAATGCTTAAACTCCGACCTCCTTGTGTGCTAATTGCACTTGTCTAACGTACTAGAGGACTGGGATGGGTACGTTGAGTTAGGTTGGGTTATATTCCCAAAAGTACTTCTAATCTATTTAGTAACTTTGAGTAACTTTAGGGTTCTGAGTAGAGAGTTGTCCTCTCTGATCTGTCTGCTGGCCATTCTCACAGTTCCGGCCGATGGACATATAGATAAGACCGAGGGATACATTCACAGTTCTGTGGGGTGGACATAATAACAATTCTGACCATTGGATAAAATCACAATTCTGACCATTGGACATAATCTCAATTCTGACCATTGAATATAATCACAATTCTGACCAATGGATATAATCACAATTCTGACCATTGGATATACTCACAGTTTTGTCCGGTAGAGTTACCACAGATCCTGGTACCTCTCTCGGGGACACACGAAGGGAGGGTTACCCAGTCCTGCCGACAGAAGCCTTCTTCCTCCCCACGTCCAACGTCCAGTCTCTCCACTGTGGGCAGGAGATTGTAAGATTAGGTAAATTTTTCTAGATGGCAAGGTAAGGTTAGGTAAGGTAAACACTGGACAAAGCAGTGACTATACAACAATTGTTAGATATGCGAGGATATGATAGGATATAATAGGAGCAACTACTGAAGGTACGGAACACAACAGATTGGAGCATCGGGGATCGATCTCGGTCATGCAGGAAGCAATGCCCTAACTATACATTTAATACATTGTGTCTTCTATTATTTCTCCATATCACTTTCGGTAGAAAATGATTTACTAATCTCCAGTTCATCTGTGTTATTGCTCTATTAGACTATTTCCTCTACATTCTATGAGTTAGTAACTTTTCACTGTGGGAAAAAGATTTATTGACATACAACATACAACTGTATTCTGTGTGTATTCTATCATTTCATATATTCAATATATATATATATATATATATATATATATATATATATATATATATATATATATATATATATATATATATATATATATATATATGAGTATAAGTGTTTCAACATAGGCAGAACATTAATATATTATACAATTGTATTCTTGTTGTTTTCTATAGTTAATTCTACATCATATATAAGTGTAAACAAGTGTTTAAGGGAAGCAGAAAATTTATTGATATATCACTCAAACAAAATCACTGTTGTATTCTATAATTGGTTATACTCGTGTGTGTGAGCATTTCACCGTGGGAGAGGCCAACACACATTAGGTTATGTCAGTCCAATCAAAACAATCACAATCATTGCTTACTTTTGTCCTATTTTTTGTCAACATTAGTTCCTATCTTTTGCAACCCTTGTGTTACCCACTGACATTCACCTTTAATATTGATATATTTCGTGCTATCCACGCCCATATCTGTTCCATATTGGAGCGGGAGGGATGTTCATAGTGGATATCGATTAGCCAAAAAATCATCTTGTTTTCGATTAAGGAAAATCGTGAGGAAAATCGAACGCTTGATTTAGTGCTTCAGACGTGAAGCACTAAATGAATGTCTGTACCCAAGGGGTACTGAATGATTGAAAGCACAGAGAGCCAGAAGTTCATTAATCAGCTGGTGGGCATGGTGATTAATGTTGGGCACGGTGATTAATGTTGGGCACGGTGATTAACGTTGTTTCCTGTCACTCATTCTGCGATCTCATATATGTCTTAGGTTCAATAACTTGACAACTTGATATACAGTAGTGTCGAAGCTCTGAAGCTTTTGTTTATATTAAAAAATACATAAAGTTTATATACAAAAAAAAAAAAAAAAAAAAAAAAAATTATTTAACTCCTCTATTGTCAGTTTGACCCCATTATGCCTTCAGCTCCTCACCTATAAATTTCACCCCCACAATGTCTGACTTCAGCTCCTCACCTGTTAGCTCGACCCTCCCATGCCTGACTTCAGCTCCTCACCTGTTAGCTCGACCCTCCCATGCCTGACTTCAGCTCCTCACCTGTTAGCTCGACCCTCCCATGCCTGACTTCAGCTCCTCACCTGTTAGCTCGACCCTCCCATGCCTGACTTCAGCTCCTCACCTGTTAGCTCGACCCTCCCATGCCTGACTTCAGCTCCTCACCTGTTAGCTCGACCCTCCCATGCCTGACTTCAGCTCCTCACCTGTTAGCTCGACCCTCCCATGCCTGACTTCAGCTCCTCACCTGTTAGCTCGACCCTCCCATGCCTGACTTCAGCTCCTCACCTGTTAATTAGACACTACAAAAGCTGAGTAGTCTCCTCACCTGTGAGTTGGACACCACAATGTCTCCGGGAAGGCCTCTGGATATCGTAGCAGCAGTCTCGCCCTGGTGGGTACTCGCTAGGGTAGTTCGGAGACTCCAAGAACCCGTTCTCACCTTCCAATGAGTAGTAGCACCCGGGTTCCCTGAAGACATCTGCAAAGAGAGTCAGCGTTCCTTAGCAATGGGCTATCCATCAATCTTAGTACTTTTTCCACATTCAGTTGTAGCTGTCTACTGTATGGATATGTATGACATATGAATGAATCAATCTTGTTACTGCGTTAAATCATGGATGATTTTCATCAGTAAGGATTGATTCAAATACGGTTTCTTGCTGCACTGGATTTATCACGTCTCTATGTATGTATGTATGTATGTATGTATGTATGTATGTATGTATGTATGTATGTATGTATATATGTATATGTATGAAATACATGTAAGTCAATCATTTTGCATGTACGTCTGTCTCATCATGTATGAATGTTTTACACTTTGAATGCATGTATCTCTGTCATAATATTTTGCTGCAAATGAAAGGCCAAACCTGGCATATATAAGGGCCTAAACACACACACACACACACACACACACCTGTCTGAGTACTTTATTGTTGATTACCGCGATAGGGTTTCGAAATATTTTCTGTATTGTTACGCGTTCCTTTGTATATGACCGCTTTTTGAGGGCACATATATATACACACAAAAATCAAACACATACAGAAACAAATATACTCACACAGACACACAGAGACACACTCAAACCCATGCAAGGGAAAACTGTCAATAAAGCTTATATTAACCACCAACGATCCACTTCCTGACCCTTAACCTCCCGGCTGTTGTTTCCCATTCAACAGAATCCCCATATTCCCAGTGACGTCACTGCCAACCTACTCACTAACTGCCAATTATCGTCAAATGGCAGGAAGAGGGTCATCCAGAGGTCAGTTGATAGGGTCACACACGTGACGTCAAATTACATCGACATTGGCAGTGACGTCATTGAGCTTATGCCTTTCAAGAGATCTGTGGGGAGTAGTTTGGTATTAGCAATGAATGAATATATCCAGTAATTTCAAAACTTTTATGGAAAAGCGCATCTCAACACTTTGATATTAGCAAAATTAAAAATCAGAGAATTAATAATCTCGTTTATTGCAAAATTCTGCTGTTTACACACCTGTAAACGATGTTTATTATTTTTACGATTTTTTTGTTTTCAAAGAAAATTTGGTAAATAATATTTCTCCGTCGCCACATTGTTTACCAAATGCATTCTTTATATCATCAATGAAATAAAAACTTCTAAGAACAATATACTTCTATTTCCATTCTTAGTTTACTAACAAGAATTTATTTTAACTTCAAGTTTTTTCTGGTACACCTCTCGATGTTCAGATCACTATGTTAAGTTCTGTAATAACAATAATAATGACCATTTCTTACACCTGTAATTACATTCCAGAGAGGACTGGGGTTAATATTGGTGCTGTTAATATGCTGACCTTTAACCTATGCTGTTAACGGTAGGATAAAAAAATCGTTAACTGTAAAAAAAATCATTTATTACCAAGAGTCAGATAAAATATGTGTGAACGCCAGCAAGCTGTGGAAGACCTAAAATTCAGGCTGTGGATTACTTTAATTTTAGGGAGTAGGTGACTTAAAAATCAAGTTGTGGATGAACTTGAAAGTTATGCCTTTTGATAACCTAAATTTGGGGGGTGGTTGTGATAGTAGAGGAGGTTGTGGTTGGTGAAAGTTATGCGGTGGGAGTGCTGATGAAAGTGGAGTTATGAATTTCATTTTGACAAAAAGTAACATATTTTGTACGTGAGAAAATGCTTGAGAACTGGACTCCACCAGATGCAGCACAAGTACTCTGCTTCAGTTACAAGAAGCACGAGTACTTTGAATCTGTTGCAAGAAGTACAAATATTCTGCGTCAGTTAAAGGACGCACAAGTACTCTGCGTCAATTACAGGAAGCACAGAGCCCCAAGTCCAATCACGAGGTGGTACGTTTAATGTCTCCTCCTGCCTGCGTCTCCATTAGCAATAGCATCTGACCTTTACGTTATGAAGGGTGGGTGGGTGGGGCCCTTTGAATGCCTCACGTACTTGTCGCAAAACTTGCGTAAAGTCCACCGACCTTGTGATGTGGTCGGCCGCGTCACGTCGCTCTACGACCCCGCCTAAGACAGCTCCAGGAATACGGGCTCACCATAGCCCGTGCTACTTGGAACTTTTTGTTCTGAGTAGCTGAATCTAAAACAGCAACAACAGCTCCAGGATAACATTATCGATTGCTTTAGGTGTTGGGGTTAATGCCTATCATCCATCTGGAGTCTGGAAGGGTATTTTCAGGTGACCAAAAGTGCTTACTGACCAGTCAAGTAGTTATTCTCAGTCTCCTTCGCTCCCCGCTTCTTTTTCCTTATCCTCTCTCCTCTTCTCACTCCCTCAGAAAAATTTTAATTTTACGAAGCACTGAAAAAACCAGCTTAATTTCTTTTTGGCGGAAAACATTCGCGATTTCGTGTCAGATTTAAATTAATGAAGCCCGCAGAGGGTCGCTATAGATGCTGATATTTTGTATAGGGTGGCTTTGATTCTCGGATAAACAGACAAACAGACAGAGAGACAGACAGACATGTAAACTCTACAGCCGACCACAATCCGGCCAGCAACTGTTCGCCCCATGAACTACTCTGTCTACTTTCTTCAGTATAATTTGTTTCTTTGGCCTGTAGTCTGAACCGAGTCATTGAATCGCTTGTACTTTCACTCTCTTGGTACCAAAGGGTTCCAGATGGTTCCAGATGGTTCCGGATGGTGTGGTAATAAGGATGGTCGTCCACCAGCTGCATGTAGCTCAGTTTAGCTTTTATTACAACAGCAATATTGGTTAACTACCGGCCCACCTGTGAGGCTCTTATTGGTGGGGCTCCGGGAAGCTCTCGCTGAACTCTCATTGAAACTATTTAATTTGAGGAATTAGAAGATAACATGACTTGGCTATATAAGTTGGTGTGTATCGTGTGTATCTAGCCCGGCTGTCAGAGTTAGCCAGGGCTCAGTCTGGTGTAGTGAGCAAGTTGTCAGAGTTAGTCAGCGCTCAGTCTGGTGTACTGAGCAAGGCTGTCAGAGTTAGCCAGGGCTCAGTCTGGTGTACTGAGCAAGGCTGTCAGAGTTAGCCAGCGCACAGTCTGGTGTAGTGAGCAAGGCTGTCAGAGTTAGCCAGCGCTCAATCTGGTGTAGTGAGCAAGGCTGTCAGAGTTAGCCAGCGCTCAGTCTGGTGTACTGAGCAAGGCTGCCAAAGTTAGCCAGCGCTCAGACTGACCGTAAATTATTGCCACTGATCTCTTATAAGTTTTTTTTTATATCCCAGTTGTGGTAACACCAGTTTTTTTCCACACATCCTTTCTCTCAGCGACCCGGAATGAAAGTATCGACATCAGAACGGTTAATAACACTGAACCTGTACGGCCAGGATACAATATAACACTATATCTCACTTGAACAGACGCTGATTACAGTAATTAGCAATTTGCTGTAATAAGCAATATCGAATTACAGGAAATTATATGCCTCTGAAGTCATTTCTTCACTCAAACAGAAAAATTATTGGTGACTAAGCAGTTCTTTGGGGGTTTACAAGCCTCCTTGTTGACATATTGTTGTGTAGTCTATTTGTGCTTTCATTAATCATATTAATTTACCTACAGTTCGTGGTGGCTACAGTGCTGAAAGCAACACACCATAAATCATACGTTGCAAATTGCATGTTTTTGCATATGGTGTATGCAGTTGGGGCTGTATGCAAAGGTATAATGAATCAACGCTTTACGTCATGTTGTAAGCCGTTTGCATTGTAGTTTGCTGTGTACACAGTGGGTGTTGAAGGTCACTGTATATGCCTTTAGTGATAACAGATCGTGTTGTATGCAGTTGCTACCGCAAGTCACTGTGCTTCCATTTATCGTCAAGACACGAATGAAAGATTACAGGTCACAGTGTACGAATTTATTAAAGCAAGTCAGTGATGCAGGTAGTGTTGCGAACTATGGCCCCACGTGCTTAGTATTGGTGGTCTTCTTCTATGCAGTTTGGGTGCATTGTTTGAGAATATATGTAGTTATCGTAGCAAGTCTTGTGTGTAGGTCGTGTGTATTGTATTCATATATGTAGTTATTGTAGCAAGTCTTATATGAAATTCGTGTGCATTGTGTGGGTATATGTAGGTATTCTAGCAAGTCTTATATGATGATCGTGTGCATTGTGTGGGTATATGTAGTTATTGTAGCAAGTCTTGTATGAAATTCGTGTGCATTGTGTGGGTATATGTAGTTATTGTAGCAAGTCTTATATGAAATTCGTGTGCATTGTGTGGGTATATGTAGGTATTCTAGCAAGTCTTATATGATGATCGTGTGCATTGTGTGAGTATATGCAGTTATTGTAGCAAGTCTTGTATGAAATTCGTGTGCATTGTGTGAGTATATGCAGTTATTTTAGTAGGTCATGCTTTATGCAGCTCGTTTGACTTCTGTGGGATATATGCGTTTATTGTGGCAGGTGTTTTTTAATGCACTTCCTGTGCATTGTGAGGTTATGTGCAGTTGCTGTAGCAGGCTTGGTATGTGTAGATTGTAAGGATGATCTGGGTGCTCTACGTTATATGAAAGTCGTGATAAACACATTTTGTGATACAGATCTAGGTATACACATTAAGTATGTAAGATACAGAGATTACAGTTAGTCATACATGTGTGAATATAGTTAATTCTGGAAGTCTAAGTGAATGCAGTAATTGGTGCAAGTCTGGATGTATGTAGTTAGTGGTGGAAGTATTGAAAAACAATTTCACTCAGCGATGCAGGTTATCTTGAGATGATTTCGGGGCTTTAGTGTCCCCGCGGCCCGGTCCTCGACCAGGCCTCCACCCCCAGGAAGCAGCCCATGACAGCTGACTAACACCCAGGTACCTATTTTACTGCTAGGTAACAGGGGCATAGGGTGATAGAAACTTTGCCCATTGTTTCTCGCCGGCGCCTGGGATCGAACCCAGAACCAAAGGATCACAAGTCCAGTGTGCTGTCCACTCGGCCGACCGGCTGTGAAGTAGGTGTGTGAAGGGTGAGAGAAG